AAAATCCTATATAATAAAAGGCTAATATGCCCCCCGCCCTTGACAATACCCCGGCTTCCCCTACTGATGTTTCTATCTCTCTCTCCCTCTCCTTTCCTCTCTGAAAACAATAAAAATATATTTTAAAAAATCCTATATAATAAAAGGTTAATATGCAAATTGTCCCCTCCACTGGGAGTTCAACCAGGGGGCGGGGCCAGCCAGCCAACCGCCCTCGGCCCTTCCTTTGCCCTGATCAGGGCAGGCCAGGGCAGGCCGGCCGGGCCCCACCTGTGCACAAATTCGTGCACCAGGCCTCTAGTAAATGAATAAAAGAATTACTGTTTGGCCTTTAAAAAAAAATTTATACCACTCTACTAAAATGTTTCTCATAAAAATTGTGAATGACTACATATCTGCCAAAAAAAAAAAAAAAAAAAAAGGAGGGGGGGATGGTATTCAAACCTACTTCACAGGTTGTTTTAAGAATTAAATGAGCTGACTGGTTGGTGTGGCTCAGTGGTTGAGTGTCAATCTATGAACCAGGAGGTTACGGTTAGATTCCAGGTCAGGCACGTGCCCGGGTTGCAGGCTTGATCCCCAGTAGGGGGTGTGCAGGAGGCAGCCAATCAATGATTCTCTCTCATCATTGATGTTTCTCTCCCTCTCTCCCTCTCCCTTCCTCTCTCTGAAATCAATAAAAACATATTAAAAAAAAAAAAGAATTAAATGAGCTACACATGTCAACGGTTTAGCACATAGTAAGCTATATAATAAGTAAATAAATATTGTTACTATTGCTTTTGACCCCACAATTAATGGTGTGTTTCCTTTCCTGTCAGAAAACAATGGGCTGCTATTCCTGGAGACCTCAGCCCTGGATTCCACCAACGTGGAGCTGGCCTTTGAAACTGTCCTTAAAGGTTAGAGCCCCTGCCTCTATTTGGCACCCCATTCCAACCCCAGGCTTGCACGGGCAGTGGTAGGAATGCAGACACCCAGCCCTCTCCACCCCAGCTGGTTGCTCAGCACCTCTGTGGGTCCCCAGCCTCCTCAGAGCCTCCCACCCCCCGCCCAGACATTCCCTAGTGCTGCCCCACCCCACTGAGCCTGGAGCTTAGGGAAGGAACCAGAAGGCCGCACTTCTCAGGGAGCGGAGTCTTGGTCCTTCCCCACCCAGGTCAGTAGAAGGGACAGGAACTCCACTTCCTTTCAGCAAAACCTCCTTTAAGTGCGACCACCCCTCAGAAGGGGGCGTGTGGTGTGAGCCCAGGGAGCGTGGGCTTCTGAACTGACCACTCCCCTCTCCCCCCTCAGAGATTTTCGCCAAAGTGTCCAAGCAGAGGCAGAACAGCACTCGGACCAATGCCATCACCCTCTGGCAGTGCCCAGGCTGCGCAGGAGCCTGGCCCTGGTGAGAAGAGGGCCTGTTGCATCAGCCTCTGACCTTGGCT